ATGCTTGAGAGCAATGTATGGTTTCACAGACGCACCATTGATGTTTCAGTTGGCCTTGTTGGAGTTTCTCAAAGATAAGACAGGAGCTAAATCATCGGTTTTCGACGACAACTATCTTTACTGGGGCATCGATTACAAGGGCAACAAGGTGATCGTTTTAGTCATGACTGTTCATGTGGACGACTTACAGATCACTGGCAGCAGATTCTATCGCGATTGGATACACAAGAAGTTGGAATCCAGATTCGGCAAGCTCAAGAGGCAGACGATGCCATATACACATGCTGGCCTACAGCTCGAACGAATTGTACCGACGTGTATACGCATTCATCAAGATCAGTTCACATCATGTCTTTCGCCATGTGTTATACCAAAAGAGCGAGTTGATGTACCAGATGCACCCTGCACGGCAGCAGAACACAAGACGTTCAGATCTCTTACTTGTGGAGCACTCTGGGCATGCCAGACACGACTGGAGGAACTATTCAACGTTGTTTCTCTACAGACCAAGCTACAGAGTCCGACCATCAAGGACCTCCTGGCGATCAACGCAGTGATCAAGAGACTCAAGAAAAATCCCGAGAAGTTTGGCATCTACTACAGGAAGCTCAAGGCACCACTACGGATCTCTTGTATTACGGACGCCTCTTCAGCCAACAAGAACAGCAATTTCGCCACAGAAGGAGTCACGATAGGTCTTCAAGAAGACCGACTACACTTTCCTTTATGTGATCGACAAGATTATCTGCAGGACAATCTGATCAATCGGCTCAGTGGCAAGTTACATGCATTAGTGGTCACTTCGACCAAGTCTAAGAGAGTTTCACACAGCACGTCCCATGCAGAAACGTTGGCAGCAGCGCGAGGAGTTCCCATGGCACAGATTATCGGCATGAGGCTTACAGAACCGGAGATTAACATTCTATGCGGACCTCAGAAGCCACTACAGCTTCAAGAACGACTCGACCGAGGGCAGTTGAGTTTACCAGTGGACGCTTTCATTGATTGTATGGACCTGTGGGAGTTATGTTGCGGACTTCGAGGAACACCACAGGACAAGTCACAGCGTTTGGGTATTCTGTCGCTTCGAGAAGAGCGACGAACCCTGAGATTACGACGACTTTATCATGTACGTACCAAGTGGATGGTTTCAGATATGTTGACAAAGTTCGTGGGAGCAGATTCCAAGTCACTCTTGGAGCTGATCACCACCGGTTGTTGGACGATCGCAGGCACACTGCGAGTCAGGCAAGGATTTGGACTAGACAGTACCAAGTCCGACATGACAAGACTATGATATTTCAGTTCAGGATTTTCATCAGAATCTGAAGTATGATCTGGAGTTTGGTTTATATGTGAGATGTTATATGAGCAGCTCCACATGTATAGCTTTGTTCGACTTCAATTGTGGAGCTAGTATTTTATGTTCACCTTTATCGGCTACCACTTCGAGATGGATTATCATCAGATCTATTTCAATGGATTTACTTCAGTTGATGTATTTCAATGGGTTTATATTTGGTGGCCGTGGTGGATATGATAAGCCTGTTATGGCTTACTTAGGACTGCTGTCCTACTCTTCTCCTCTCTCACTCCTTCCTAGGGCCGCTACCGAACTGCAGTAAAATCGACTGGGTTTTAATTTTTATAAGATCCAACATGTCCTAAAGAAAATAGGACCAGAGTTGAGATTATTATGTCTAGGACCTGTTAGGCATGTTGTCTCATACGCTAGAAGCAGTACCGTACTGTAACGTACTGGCTCAAGTCAAAACAGTAAAAGATTATCATCTTTATTGCCATTAGTTCATATAGCTTTCGCTTAAAGAACTTAATATTTCCAGTTCAGGATTTTCATCAGAATCTGGAGTGGGGGGAGGGGGGGGGGGCGACCTGCGCAACCTGGAGCAGGGGGAGAGGCGCTGGTCGGCCACGCGCAGAGAGGCGAGGGGGGAAGGCTTCGAAGAGGCACCCCTGCTCCTCAAGAGGCGCGGGCCTTCTCTGCAGATGCATGGCTGGCGCCTTCTGAGGAACGGCCTCTTCCTCGAAAGCCTTCCCCCCATCCCGCGAACCCCTGGTGCGCGCCGCCAAGTGGGAGGCGAACGGGACCCCGAGGGGCTCCCCCCTACTCCTCGATGGCCGACGAGGAGGAGAGGGAGGAGGAGGAGGAGAAGGGGGAGGACGACGAGGCGGAGGGGGAAGAGGAGAGGGAGGAGGACGAGGAGGAGGAGGAGGAGGAGGAGGAGGAGGAGGAGGAGGAGGAGGAGGAGGAGGAGGAGGAGGAGAGGAAGAGGAGGAGGGGGAGGGGAGGGGGGAGGAGGAGGGGGAGGGAGGAGGAGGGGGAGGAGGAGGAGGAGGAGGAGGAGGAGGAGGAGGAGGAGGAAGAGGGTGAGGGGAGGCAGACTGTGCATTGGGGGGGGCCTCCACTGGAGCAGCTCTGGGGGGGGGAGGTCGTTCTCGGGTGTGGGTCCCTGGGGGGGAAGGGGGGGAGGAGGAGCGG